CAGTTCGGGACTGAGAGATCGAGTGCCCTTCTTCCTCGTTGTGGTTGCTGGTATGAGGAGGATGATCAGAGTGGTACCGAGGGAGTTGAGCGCGAATTCGCTTGTTCTCGGCGCTACGCGCCGCCAGGTCGGCTTCATTAGCGGTACGCATTGCCGCTAGGTCAGTGTCGTGCTTGGCACGCATGCTTTGTAGGTCGGCGGCGTTTTGCTGCCGCATCTGTTCGACCTGGTCGATTAGTCTCCTCAATGCTGCTTCGTTATCCATGGTAGTTGAGTGATTTGCGTCGTCTGTTGCGCGTCTACTATGGCTTCTAGTGAATACCATAAGCTGGCCGATAAGAGCTGTCTTGATCGGCCCCACGGTGGGCGCCAAATGTTCTTACCGGGAATCCAAGGTAGGGATGATCCTTCGAGTAAGATTGGCGAGCCTCCTTCGCTGGTACGCTTGATGTTCCAAGATGGGGGTGGTACCTGCAAAAGAGACTCTGATGCTAAAATTAGGGTTTGTATGAGTGTATGTCTCGTATAAGTAATGCACGTACCTTAGTATGAATTAGGGTTGCGTTGAGCCTTGGGCCTAAGATCAGTTGTGATCTAATTAGATAGCGGATCTCGTCTGGACCGAGATCTCCTCAGATCAGTTATGATCTGGTTAAGTAACGAGCTGACATCACGTAGCGCGTATCCGAGGTCGTCATGCGCTGCGATGCCGAGCTGGGAACTCGACTTTGTAGTACGGATAGTACAGATGGTGACTGCTTTTATTTTTTTAATTAATTGTGACTACTAGAGATGTCAAATCCATTTTACAAATTAATTTACACATAATTTTTATTTATTTATTCACTTATAAAAATTCATACATTTCTTTTATCTAAAGAGATGTTGCATAGTAAGTGCCTGAAAGCAACGGTGATGTGAATGCAATAAGTTATTGTTTTGGCATGCATGCTTAATTTGGACATTGGTCCATGCAACGAACCGATTGGAAACATGTGGAGACTTGTTCAACCTTTATTATTAATTTAGCCATGTTAAAATAGTGGATTAAGCCTAACTCAACCCTACAAAACCGGCTTGTAAGGTGAGGGTTGCTTTCCACTTATATACTATTCAATTGCCTAATCTCTAGTCGATGTGGGACTTGGGTTTTTCCCAATACACCCCCTCACGTCCAGCACTATTGGGTTTGGTACGTGGATAAATGGTAAGTGGCCCTTTTTAATGATCTAGGATAGGCGGGACTTGGGTTTTTCCCAATACACCCCCTCATGCCTGTGAGGCATGCATCAATGGTGGGTGGCCCATTTTTAAAGTGGATCTAAATGGCTCTGATACCATGTTAGAATAGTGGATTAAGCCTAACTCAACCCTACAAAACCGGCTTGTAAGGTGAGGGTTGCTTTCCACTTATATACTATTCAATTGCCTAATCTCTAGTCGATGTGGGACTTGGATTTTTTCCAATAAGCCACAGAAAGAGAGACAAGTATGCGTCTCTAACCCTAACTACATTTTATTTGTGATGCCATATATCGTCCAAGCAAATTCCTTAATTAAGCAAAATTTAGTCAAAATACAAAATGTGCAAAGAAAGGGATATTGACATTGCAAACGTAAAGTCATCAAAACTCTACACCCAAATCTTCATTGTGTGGCCAAAATAAATTGGAATTGGCTAATTATATATCACTTTCCTTGAAATTTCCAAATTGCTGTGTTCAACTTTTCTTGTTCCATACATTACTTCGACATTAATTTATTACTTGCTCCGTATCATATGCATGCGTAAAATATGCAATTTCTTAAATAATAAAAAAAAAAAAAGCGGGATATAAGATGAGAATCAACAAGAAAAAAAACACACATATGGTTGATTGATAATATTGTCTTTATAGTATATGATGTCATGTTCTATTATATAATATGCATATATAAATTGATATAATATTATTAAGAATATATATATATATATATATAGTTGGTTACCATGTTTGGTTATGGCATAAGGTTCGGACACATGCTTCCATAACCATCTTCGGAATAGATGCCGATGGCCGGTATTTGTGGGTTTCAGGTATGATGAAGGTATGTCTCCTTCAACTTCATAGTAATAGTAATGATATTCCAATCATTATAGTCCACATAATAATGGAGAGTCTGTAATATATATATATATATATATAATTTTAAGTGATTTCTCAAATTATGATATATTATATATTAATATTTATATTACATTAAAATAAATAATTATATAATGTTACTATCATTGTACTATTATTTTTTTTTACTACAAATAATAGTAATGATAGTAGGTGATAATAGTAATCATATTAACAATTCTAATGACACAAATAATATTAATAATGATAAACGATAACAGTGATAATAATAATAAAAATAAAATAATAATAATAATTGCATAAAAAATATTATAACCAAGTACTTCCAATCTTATTCTTTTAACTATAATCTAATAACTATCATTAAAAGTTCTTATTTTAAAAGTTTTTTTTATTTGAAATGCTCTTATATATGATTATATTAGAATAAAATTAGAAGATAAAACCAAAAGGGTAATCATGGTCTTCTATAAATCCTTACATAACCAAATCATAAGTCCTTAAACAAAGGGTATATTAATCTTAAAAATAAAATAAGATAAATGAAGCAATATCATAAAGCAATAAATCTTGGAAAACACTCCTCTCATTTTTTTCCCTATACTATTTCCTCTTTGACATGTTAAAATAAAATAGGGAGACATATGCCCCCAATGAGCACCCGAAGGACAGGCAAATGCATATATAAAATAACAATTGCATTTATAAAAGGTACACAACTTTCAATTAAGCAAGAATATGAAACATAAAACAATATTACATTTATTTAACATTCTTAAATTCTTTAAGCCTTTTGTCTTTTCCATCCTTTTGACAAGTTTGAGCTTAAAATCTTCAAGAGACATCTTGCTTTTTCCACTTAGCATACTTTTGTCAAAGGGTACATTCTTTGAGAACAGATCGACACCACTCTTAAAGATCGATAGAGTCGAATATATTTTCCTTATCAAAAAAATATTGTCTTAATTTGTACTTTAAATATTTATCATTCAGTCATTCTTTGTGATCAAAAGATTTACAACTTTCCTTCAAAACACAAGGAGACATTTCCCCCATTTATTCTTGGGAAAAAATATAGCATTTTATCCATATAATTCATATATATATAT